CAGTATTTTCTTCTCAAGTAATGCCTTCCCTTTTCTATTCATGACCCTTCTCTTACTGTCTGATGTGGCTTTAGAAATTGAAGATAAGAGACTTGTGATAGAAACAAAGGTAAATATTAATGCCCTAGAGCAGCGGTTGGAAACCGATGGTCCGCAGACCACTAATGGTCGGTGAGGTCCAAAAGGTTGGCGACCGCTGCCCTAGAGTGTTTTGAAGCTAATAAATTGGTATCTTACAAAAGAAGTGACTGGACCAGATGATAAATAGGAAGTGATAAAGTTTAAATAAAAATGTTTTTCTCCCATTTAGAATCACATACTGAGTTTTTCTCTGGTTCTCAACTTCTTCCTTCTGATTTCTTTCTTTTATTGCCTTAGTTTGGGGCAAGTACCAAGGGATGATTCCTCCATTTGTGCTTCTACTTTTGAACATATAATGTACTCTAAAAGCCTGTAGTCAGTGATAGGGTTTGAAAATAATTCAATATGAGGATGGTATCTCTAGAAAATTACTTTCTTTATCCATACATATATGGTTCTTTCTCTGTTTGTTTTCTGCCTTTTTGTCTACAAACATGTCTCACTGTAATTTCATCTCCCTTTAACAGTAATTATAGGACTAATGTATACTTTCGTTATATTTAGTAGTAATGTCGTTTTTATTTGGATGGAGAAGAAAAACATTTTCTACTTATATCTGTGATTAAAGTTGATTGGCACTAAGGGACCCTACTGTATTTTTTTTCAATGGGTCATTGGCCTTTGCTAGAGAAAAGCCACCTACTTCAGTATTGCTAAGGATTGGAGAACTGAGATACTATTCAAGAAACAAATCTAAGGATGGTCTGTTAATGGTAAACAGAAAGGAAAGGAAGAATTCTGTAAATTTTGTGAATGATTTTCCTGTTTTCTGTATCTGTCCAGCACTGAAAGAATAGAATTGTTCCAAGCCTGATCAGCAGAGGTGCAGTGCTGACAAACATAAGAACTTTTAAATACTACAGTTTTGTTTTAAATTCAACAATAGTTTTCCTACGTTTTTACAGAAAAGTAGGTTTGGAAACAATAGAGTGTGTTTTGGAAATTTAATTTTATAAATAATTTAAAGGCTTCATGTTCCTAGAACTTTGGGAATTATTTGAGTTTCAAAGTGTACATTTAATGTGCTGGTTGTGTAATCTGATTAATGACACCCATCAGTTGCAAAAGAGAATGATATAATCTTGAAATCATTGGCTTGGTTATATTTTAGAACATCAGGTTCTTCTCTGCCAAGTCACAGTAACTACTAAGGTTTGGCATCCTTTGTCTGTATGCCTCCCAACCCACTCCAAAATATTGAGAGAAAAAGTCATTGAGTAGTAACTGACCACCAGACACTAATTTATCTAGGTTAGTTACTTAAATAGAAAAGACAATATTTAAATTTGCTCTCATGCACTCTCCCCTTTATTCATTTTCTTTTCTCCTTCAGTAGACTATAATGCAAGTTATTTAACGGTTTAATCCTTTATAAAAAGACTTCCAAGTTAGCTAATATTTTTTTCCAGATAGTCTTCTCATTAAAATAATTATTTTTCCAGAGTAGTTTCTGTTTGGGGGGCTCCAAATATTCTATTCTGATTCTTTTTTATTATTATTAAGTTATTACATATGTGTCCTTTCTATTCTGTTCTCTTCGCTCTAATCATTGAAAAACAGCTATTTCTGAATAACTGAACATGAATTTAGACCATTTTTGTTAAGCCCAAAAAAATCTTGCCTAGGAAGTTTTTAGACCAGTGCTTAAACATTTACGTATAGGTGAATTTAGTCTTGTATACAGACAGTTGATTTTTGATACAATATTTGAAAGACAAAAAAATAACATATTGGAATTAAACTTGTTTGTTTTTAAGCATTATAAATCTAAGATTTACGCAGTCAGAAATAGAAAAGGAGTATCATTAGTATGTTTTTAAAATGACAAAACTTTGAATCACCACACATAAAGGAAGGCGAGATAATGAAGTAAAGATAGGAAATTCAACAAATGGAAGAAATTAAACCTAGAAAATACATGTAATAAGGCTACCTACAAAACTCTTTACAATAAGCATGATTTCGAATGTCAGAGGTAAAGGAGGGAACTTCATCAATGAAACAAGAATAAGAAGTTTAAAAATTGACAGTTATGAAAACCCTAGTTAGAATTCCTAGGAATGAAAAAATGTAATTATGAACTTAATAGGCTGAAAGATAGCTTGTAGAATAAAAGAAATATTAAAAAACATGGATAATTGATTCTGAAGTTCCACTGCTATTTATTAGATATTCTAGAAAGAGAATAGAGAGCATGTAGGAAAGGAGTGTTTGAAATAATAATGGTTTAAAATTTCCCACAATTAAAAAGAGTACTTCAAACTGATCATGATAAAACTTCAGAACAATCAGGTTAAATAAATAAAAAAGATTCTAAAAGCTTCTAATAAAAAAAGAACACCAGATTACCTACAAAGGAGCAATATGCTAATACTGGCTAAAATAAGATCATGGAGCAGTAACTTCCTAGGCCAGTGGTCGGCAAACCGCGGCTCTTTGGCCTCTTGAGTGTGGTTCTTCCACAAAATACCACGTGCGGGTGCACACGTACAGTGCGATTGAAACTTCATGGCCCATGCACAGAAGTCGGTTTTCGGAACGGAGATAGACAAAACAAGTATACAAGACGAGTGTGGATGGGAGAGTTGGAAGGGGTCGACCTCAGCGAATGTACCTCAATCAGATTGAGGATGTTTTTAGCAAAGGCCAGCTTAGGAGTACCCTAATTAAGTTAATAACAATGTACCTACCTACATAGTTTAAGTTTAAAAAACTTGGCTCTCAAAAGAAATTTCAATCGTTGTACTGTTGATATTTGGCTCTGTTGACTAATGAGTTTGCCGACCACTGTCCTAGGCTAATAAAAGTAACTGTCAACCTAGAAATTAATGCCCAGCCAACCTATTTATTACTTAACAAGGAGGGGGGGGGGATAAAAATGTGAGAGACGAAGGACTCAAAGGTAAAAACTAAGGTGGGCTCTTGCTGAAAGAATTTCTAAAGGATATACTTGAATTATACTCTAAAACAGTGAGTTTCAACCTTTTTTATCTCATGGCATACATAAACTAATTTCTAAAATTTTGTAGCACACCAAAAAATATATTTCTTGCCAATCTGACTAAAAAAAGTATAATTTTGATTCATTCACACGGGATGGCAACTATTGTGTTGGCTGTTGTCATTTTTTTTTTTATTTGACAGTCTAAGGCAGTGGTTCTCAACCTTCTGGCCCTTTAAATACGGTTCCTCATGTTGTGACCCAACCATAAAATTATTTTCGCTGCTACTTCATAACTGCAATGTTGCTACTGTTATGAATCATAATGTAAATATCTGATATGCAGGATGGTCTTAGGCGACCCCTGTGAAAGGGTCGTTCGACCGCCAGAGGGGTCGCGACCCACAGGTTGAGAACCGTTGGTCTAAGGGAAAAGAGGTCAGTGCCCCTGACTAAATAGTCAGGTATTGCATGTTTTTAAAATTCTTGTAGTAGACCCATTGGAAATGGCTGCTCTAGAAGGATACCGTGGCTGTTGTGTGGAAAATAGCTGCTGAAGTGAGAAGGGAGTGTGATGGGAAGAATGGAAGCTCAAGACCGGAGGCTATTGTAGTAGTCCAGATGTGAAATGGTGGAGATGTGCTTTTTTATCCCTTCACTTTTAATGTAATGTATTTCTATTGTAAGTGTAACTCTTGTAAAGAGCACAACTTCATACAATTCAAAGTCCTTCCTGAGGTCTGAAGGACCTGATCTGCCCTTCCTAGACTACCTGTCTGACCTATGTGACTATCACTGTCCCGCCTTTGGCTCCCTGATCTACCCACACTGGCTGTGTTGCTCTTTTATAACACAGGCATTTTTCTACCTCAGGGATTTGTACTCAGTCATTTCATTCAAATCTTTGTTCAAATGTCATCTCCTACAGGAAACCCTTTATGACCCCCCCCATCTAGAATATCACTCTCATCAACATCTGGTTACTTCCCTTTTTCTTTATAGTACTTAAAGCTGTCTGACAAAATATATACAAATTCATTGATTTATTGTCTGTCTCACTAGAATGTAAGCTACTTAAGGTCAAGTAATTGGTTTTATTTTCACTAAATTCCCTAGAATGGTGCATGGTAGGTGTCTGGTTCATATTTGTTGGCTAGGTACTTAACATGATATATAATAACATTATTCCACTTTAAAGAAGAAACTGGAGCATAACATTAAATAACTGGTCCAAATTCTTGCATTGGTAAGTGGTAGAGCTGGGATTCAATGAAATAAATACAAACAAAAATAAAACCACTAGGTAGTTGTGCTGCGCCAGCACGGCCAAGGGTGAACCTGAGGAGGGGTGGTGAAGGATTGAAGAAAAGACAGACGAGAATACAGCTGGGGCTCAGTGGATCTCCCATGCCTGGATGAGGACACGGAAGACCCAGACTACAAGCCGATGCTTTATTTTATAGTCTGATTAAAACAAGGGTAGATTTACATGTATACAAATGTTCTTATTTTGGCAACACTTGCAGCACCTCCCACAGCCCACCACAGCCCATTAGCTACTTAGGAAGGAATTAGGGAGGGCTACAAGTTCAGGCTTAATTATGCTAGGAGAGCTCTGCTCTCCAGGCTGAGACTTGTTTGTGGCCCTGCCACAGGTCAGCCTGAGGTTTGACCCTAGAGCTGCTCCCTACAGGTAGTATTGATAATATTGCCTAATATTGGTGTGTCTTATCTGCTTACCTATAATATAAGCTCCCTGAAGATTGCATTACTTCTCTAGAGACTGTATGGCATATAGCAGATCCTAAGTAAAACATTTGCTGAATGAATAAATGAAATGTGTTCATTGTAATAAAGGAAATGGAGTATCTTATCTAGCTTTGGTTTATTTACTTTTTATTTTTGTTTATCTTTGCAGTTTAGAGTGTTTATATCTTGGAGGAAACTTCATCAAAGAAATCCCGCCAGAATTAGCAAATCTGCCTTCTCTAAATTACTTGGTATTATGTGACAACAGAATTCAAAGTGTACCTCCTCAGCTTTCACAGTGAGTAGTTTCAAGAAGCTTATGTATACACTAGAGGCCCAGTACATGAAATTTGTGCACAGGGGGTGGTGTTGGAGGGGGGAGGATGCCTGCACCCTCTTGCAATCTGGGACCGCTGGCTCCTAACCGCTTGCCTGCCTGCCTGCCTGCCTGATCGCCCCCAAACTGCTCGCCTGCCTGCCTCATTGCCCCTAACTGCCGCCACGGCTTTGTCTGGAATGACATCCGGAAGGTCGGCTTTGTCTGGAATGACATCCGGAAGGTCGTTCCGCTGTCCAATCTAATTTGCATGTTAGGCTTTTATTATTATAGATTAGGCTTTTATTATTATAGATAGAGATACATGCTTAGGAATTGCTGTTTTGGCATTCACCCACATGTTTTATAGGTAGAAAGAACTAGATGTTACATGAGAATTACTGTTATGTTTGCTGTGAATGGGGTTGCTTATTTTTAATGTTACTTTTAAAGGCTGTGGTTTATTTCTAACAATATTTGTATATTGTAATAAAAAATAGGGTATTCATTGACAGAGATTTCCCAGGTTTTTATGGGAGTTTGTTAATTTTATATGAAGCATTCCTATCCTAACGAGATAATGTGAAGGGTCTTGATTCCTGCTGCATTTAGAATCTTTCCTTTTTTTGGTTATCTGATAAAACATCCCCCCAAAATGTTTAAATCTAGCATTATATTTCATCTAGTACATCAGAATATTCTCTTAAGTATTCTGTACTGTCTGAGATTCCATGGGCAAAAGCCCATCATGACATTTACAAATCTGTACTCTGATCTAGTTTTAGCACTTTTAAATTTTATTTCCATTGACCTAATCTTAATTGCACATTATGGGGAAATCAAGTTAAGTGAAGAACTTAACTTTCTTGGTAGTTATCTTGCTTACTGTCATTGATTTTTGTACTGCACTCATTCCAGGTTGCATTCGCTTCGATCCCTCAGTCTTCACAATAACTTGCTGACATACCTGCCTCGAGAGATCCTCAACCTTATTCATTTGGAAGAATTGAGTTTGCGAGGAAATCCGTTGGTTGTTCGTTTTGTTAGAGATTTAACCTATGATCCTCCGACTCTCCTGGAATTAGCTGCTCGGACTATTAAAATTCGAAATATTTCCTACACTCCCTGTGATCTTCCTGGGAATCTTCTTAGATACTTGAGTTTAGCCAGCAATTGCCCAAACCCAAAGTGTGGAGGTAAGCTAATTTAGTGTCCTTGTTTTCCATTCAGTTAGCTATTTTCAAAATTGATGATCTCAGTATTTTCATTAGCTGTCTTCTTTCAGAGAAAGGCAATTAGTCTCTGTTTCTCTCATCCTTTCACCCCTTTACCAGAAACTAAGACCCTCTCTGGATTTGATTCTTTTTCTTTTCTTTCTATTCTTTTCATAGTCCTTTATGATTCATACACAAGGAAAACATTCAGAAAGTCTTATCCTGTTTTGGAACTGTCATAAGATTTGTAAAATGAGAGGAAACATAAAAGTAGCATCGGCCTGCGGACTTACGGGTCCTAGGTTCCATTCCAGTCAAGGGCACATGCCCGGGTTGCTGGCTTGATGCTCAGTAGCGGGGGGGCAGGAGGCAGCCAATCAATGATTCTCTCTCATCATTGATGTTTCTATCTCGCTCTCCCTCTCCCTTCCTCTCTGAAATTACTAAAAATATATATATATTTTAAAAAAAGAAACATAACAATCCTAATTGCCTAGAAAGAATCTCTAAAATGTTTAGCTACTTAGAATCACCAGTCTGAGTATCCAGTACCTTTATAGAGTATGATTCAAGATATATGAGAATGAGCAGAATGTGTGCCAATTTCAGAATGTACCTTGGAATTTTATGTACTTTTAAATCCATGGCTCAAAATTTCTTCGGTTTAGAGTATATGGAGAGAATGAAACAAATGCTATAATGTAAGGAGTGAAGTAGGAATTCAGTGTAGTATTGGAAATCAAAAGAGGGAGAGAGTACATTTAACTACATCTGGAAAAGATGAGGTGATTCTTGACGTATGAGTTGGATTTTGTTAGGGTAAGATTGAGGATAAGAAACTTTTCAGAAGGAAAGAATAAAATTGGAGATAAAACAGCAGTATGGAGCAGAATGTTGAATGAGTAATTGGCTCAGTTGTACAATTAGGGGAGTAATGAGAGAAAAGAGTTTATAAAAGATTCATTGAGAGTAGGTTATGAAGGGCATGGAGTGCCAGGGAGTGTGAGTGGGAGTTGGTGACTGATAGGTCATTTTATTTTGGCTCCCTCATAGAAGACTGCTACTTAAAAAATTCAATTTGATGGTACAGAAAGGTTTTTACTGTTGTTGGATAAATGTAGGTGCTGAGGAAATGATACATAATTATGATCAGAGATTTTTCTGGGAAGTCCCATCATGTCTTGAAACCATTATATGGTTTATTAAAAAGGAGAAAATCATTTAAGTTCCTCAAAGAATATCAAGAGAAAAAAGACACTGTTGGTTCAAAAAGAACAATATTCGAGCCTTTCTAGCCACTCACTCTTAGAAGTATAGATTGCTGTGCTGTGCCAAATTATAATTGCTTACACTTTTCTTTGGTTCTCTTTCCTAAGTTGGCTTTAACAATGACAAGGGACAACATTCACACCAGGCCTTCAGACTCAGTAGTCTCTGTCTAATCTCTTTAAATCTATCCTTTTCTGGAAATGGACCTCTACAAGAATTCACTTTTTCTCTTGTTTCTGAATTACTTCTTCAATATACTGATTTGCTACTTATCTTAGGAACAAAAATGCATTTTAAATTATTAGTTTAAAATTTAAGATAATATATAAAATGAACCATTGACATTTTCCCCTCCCAGACTCATTAGTTATTAAACTCTAAGCAAAAGTAATTATATATTTTGTGAGACATTTTCTCTGTGTAGTCTGAGATCTTATGAATGACAAGATAATATTGTACTATTTTAACTCATGGTAACTCTATAATGCTTTATTTTGTTACTTTCTTAGGAAGCTAACATATTTTGAGGGTATATAAATACTGATTGACCAGTTTATTGCATTTTTCTACTTTCCTAAATTGTTCAAAGTAATATACCTTGAATTTCCTTTATTAAACTACTAGAGGCCCGGTGCACAAAAATTTGTGCACTGGAGGGGGTGGTCCCTCAGCCCAGCTTGCCCCCTATCACATACTGAGACCGTTCATGAAACAGCTTTGAAGTGTGTAGAGTTAGAACCTGTGGAAATGTAAGATATCATTTTTTTCTTTTTATTTTGCTTCTCAAAACATAAAGAACGATACCAAAAGTTGTCTCCTTTCTGTAAATTTTGAAGTTTTGTAGGCTTTTTAAGTTTCTTGACAGTAGGGTAGTATTATCAGGCACTGTCTATCAAATCACCCAGAGAAAACAAGCTAAATAAACAGTGTCCTTTTAATACCATCTCCCTTTTAGGTAAATCTGGCCGCCTCTTTGCAGCCAAATCATTATAAATAGCTATAAACAGCTATAGAAACATCTAGTTCTGCTTAAGATTCACAACAGAGAAGTCTGTTCATGACATTGCTTCATAATGCTGGAGAAATGGTTGCAAAAGAAACTGATTCTGTGCTTTGTAATGATTACTTTATACTTATTCCTCCTTCTCTCCAGGAGTGTACTTTGACTGCTGTGTCAGACAAATAAAATTTGTGGACTTCTGTGGAAAGTACCGCCTCCCCCTGATGCACTACTTGTGTTCACCAGAGTGCTCTTCGCCTTGCAGTTCCACATCCCAGAGCGAATCTGACTCGGAGGACGAAGCTAGTGTTGCCGCACACAGAATGCAGAAAGTTCTTCTTGGTTGAAGAGTGCAGCGTGGAGTGAAACACTAAAAGACTGAGAAAAGGTTGTTAGAAAAGAAAGTAGACTGTGAGGTTCACTAGAAACATTATCTTCGTCTTGAATGTCCATGAAAGAGTCAGAGGTGATATAAATAAAAGATTTTATGTATCATCTACCCATTCAGCAGGAATGAGTCCATTTCCATGTTTGGATTTTTTAAATGTAATTCACTCTGAATGGCCATTTTAAATTTGGCTGATTGTTTGCAGTTTTCGCTCAAGTTTTGCATAACTCCCACAGCAGACTAGAACATTCTGAAGAGCAATGCTATAATAAACCTTGAGTGGTAACAATTAAGATAAAGAAATAAATGATCAAAGCTGTAATTATTACCAGAGTTGTACTTGGGTTTAGGTTGAACATTATACCATAATAGAATTAACCCTCTTCATATATTGCCCATATGTCTAAATTACAGAGCTATTCAGATAAGCTCACAGATGGTTACATAGGCCCTAACCTTTCTGACCCCACTATCTGGTAAAGTAAGGGATATAACCTTATGTGGGATTTTAAAACTCTTCAGTTCTGCTCCTTTATTTTATATGATTGCTGTTACCCTTAGGTAATCCAGCAATGACTGTTATAGTGCCTTAAATCCTAGCTAGGATTTGGAAGTTTATGCAAGAGATGATGCCAGAGTAGCCTATAGCCTGCCATACTATGCAGAATGCTGAAATATGCTTTAATAGAACTAGGTAAACAACTGTATATCTGACACCTGAGCTCATTACTACCTTACCTTCATTTTTTGCTTAAACATGAAGTAAACCCCTCACAAGTCACTTTTACACTTAATGAGAGGCCTCACTCTTGATCACTCTGTTCATCATAAGAGAATAATAGTTTTTGATTGAAAAAAAATTTGTCAGATTTCTTTGGACAGAATAGAGATTTATGTAAGCTTCTTTGTATCTTGCACAAAGGAGTGGGAAAATGACTTAAAAATTTTAACAGTCAGTTATGACTTTATTGCCTGTGTGTACTGAACTATAACTTTCTCTAGATTTTAAAAAAACACTAGAAAAACATCACAACAAACCAAATAAAATTTGGGCAGCAGTCGTGTTTGTACACAATAGAACAATTTTCAAAATCAGTTTAACCATGGAATATTTTTTAAATATTTTTTATATTGATAAAAAAGTATTAGATAATCCTTAAAGTATAGAAGAAAAATGCTTTTACAGATTACTTGCTATTGGAAATGACCAACTTTTTATTAATCAGCTTAATATGCAATAAAAATTGAGTAACAGTTCAGTAACAAGTTGGTATTATAAAATAAGATACACAACACATACTAGCAATCTTAGATCATTAATCTATAATAGCATGATGTTTGGTAAATGTTACCTATACAGTAATATGCAAATCAGAAATGCATTGCAAGCAGGAGGTGGCCTCCCTTCTGACTTGCATTCATGAATGGGCACATCATTTCTTAAAGCAGATTGTTTTACAGTAATATGTATATGTATTAGGTTTTTGTCATATGTAGTATTTTTTTACTTTAGAAGAAAATATACTGTAGGGTAGTTTAGGGTTTGTCTGTTTATTATATGTTAATTCATGAAACAACATGAAAGTTTCATGACTGCAGTTGTGAAACGCTGCTATAAAGTAAATCCCTTCCCCTTGTTATAATGTAGTAAGATTCTTTTTTCCTTTTGATTCAGAAACTTTCTATGTCTATGGACGTAATCTAGTATATTTCTACTGCTTAGCAAAGTATACATGGGTGATTATGTCTTACAATGGAAGTAATAACAAGTCTTATTTACTTCTCCATTTGAACCACAGCAAGTTATATACTACAAACGTATGAATAGTAAAGATGACTTAGGTAGTACCTAAGTGGCAAACTCAAAATGTTTTGTAAGTGACTTAGTTTAGATATATAAAATATTTTCATAGAAAATAAATAATGTATTCATAGTAAAATACTCAAATGAATAGGACCAAATTTTTCTGGCTTAAATGTCTCAATTTACTTTCAAATTTATTACAAGCTTCACCTAAGTAACAGCTTGGGTAATCTTTTAAGAGTTAATCTTTTTAAAAAAATTAAAAAAAAAATGGATAGGTATGTAAATATGGTGTTCAACCTTACATACCTCTTTCCAGCTTCCCAGAAATAAGATGCACTGATTGAGCTTTTACAGATGCGTAAATAGGTCTAACCAGAAACAGTTTCTAGCTTTTGCTGTATAATGTAGATGTATATAGCAAACTATCAAAATGTTTGCTATGGTTCTCTATATGTACATTTGAAAACCTAAGATCAGTGTCCAGCTGTCTTTCGTGACTTTTACTGAAATCTACATTATAGTTGTTTTATCTTTTTAAAAAATCTTTTACAAGAGCTTTTTACCTTTTAACCTTTTATAAGAGCTGCTAATTCCTAAGATTTCCCCCTGTTTTTTTCCCCCTATCTTCCCTTTCTCGGTGACTAGAAATTAAACCAGAAGGTGAGATATAAGGGACCTGATATTCTAGAAACCAGATAATCAGCTCCCGAATCATCTAGCTCACTCTGTATTTAAAATGATAGTCTATATCTCTTTAGTTGTTAAGTCACATATTTGTGTTTAAACTATAGTTAATAAACTTTAACTATCTTTTGAGATGTATAGAATATGCACTAATTTTCATAGTGAAATAAGTATGTTTAGCTCTACTTGGACAATTTTAGTGACCAAAACTTATGTGGATAAAACTACTTAGCCAAAGCATTAAAGTGTTTGGAATGAAATTCTTCAGTGCTAATATTTAAAATTGAAATGGATACATTGAACATTCTTAGTAATCTTTATCCTTAGAATACAGTTCTCAGTGTCACGAAACTGAGAGGTGAAATAGTCTTAGGATTTTAGGAACTAGGAAAATTTTGCTTTCATGGTGCCAGAGAATGGCTGACCTAAGGACAAGCTAGTCAGGGTTGTCAGTATTCCCTGTATTTGAGTAGGGAAAATAGGTCTGGGGGGTTACCGTTCATATTTTACTTCTAAATGTGTGCCAGAGGAGTCTCTTACTAAAATTCTTGATACCTGGAACTTTGGGCTATGAAACTTGAAAGAAAAGACTTGCATTGTAAATTGTAACTCAAATTTGAGAAATTTTTGTATTGATGTAAATAAAAGTTAGAGACAGTTCACACTAGTGCAGTATAACACTGCAGACCAATTCCACACAAACATTGTGAATATCAGTTTTAAACAAGAAAGAGGGAAAAGGCTCATTGCTGGAGTGTGAAATGAAAGAAATCTTTTAAAGCAACAAAGGGCAGGGAAATAGAAGTTACCAGGGATATCCCTGAGCAAAGAAAGTTCTTTAAAGTAATAGTGAATTGTTTTAAAATTAAGTTGCCAGACTACCATCTGAAAGCCTTTCTCGTTGATTTCTTTAGTTTCTGCTATTGGGATATTGCCCACATTCCTCCATAATGAAGGGCCAGCAAGTAATAAGATTTTCCTATAGCCAACCTTGCTCTTTCCAAAGGGAGTAAGTAATACCTCATTAACCTGGAATTTGTGGTACAGTCTTGATTAATGTTTACTTTTGCACTATGGAAAAAAAAACACCCACAAAACATAATTTCTGCAAATAAAGTTTGATCTTTTAAAGCATTTTATATAAAGAGTTATTCTGAATAATAAGACCTTTCTTTTGTAGGCTAAACTATATCAGTTATAGTATGAGTATATAAAATTAAGCTGCATTCAGAAATACCTAATTTTTAATGACCCCTTCTTATCCAAAACAGATTTAATTGTGGTGGTGTAACTATTACTACCCATTTAGTTCAAAATAGTGAGCTGGGCGTTTAACAACAGTAAAAGCTACTGTATAGGTTTTTAGGCAGCATGATCTGCAATACATAGTTCTGATTTCCTCTGTATAGAAAAGAAGCACTTGACCTTCACTGTCTGTATTAAATACTATACTCTGTAACATTAATGTGATGAATGTAATAGCATCCAATTTTGTATTTTCATTAGTCATGATCTTTTTAAAGGTAGCAGTGTCTTCAGCTCAGAAAAGTATGTGCCTTATATCCTCCAGTCTACATCCAGATTTTGGGGGGAACTAGGTAATTTAATAAGTTGTTTATGACAGTCTTTTCACCCTTTGCACTTGACTTGAGGGAGAAAAACTGTGATCCTGAGGGATTCCTTTCGCTAAACAGGGCCTAATGCCTATGAGTCTAGGGCTTCTGGAGAGGGAATCCCAGGCATGCATTCTCTCAGAAGGTCAAAGCCATAAATACAATCAGTGCAAAGGTATGTTCTCTTTTATATTATTTTATAAAGAAAATTTATCTGCTAACACTAAGGGGTGATAGTTTCTAATCAACTTTATATTAATAGTATATAAAGATACTATTGCCATGAGGCCTACCATATTTTGTGAGTGGCTTATCTATAATACTAGGCTGAAGGTGAGGGTGTATATGTTTTAATATTTTTGCATGTAAATATCTTCTTTCTTTTTCTCTCTTCTTGGTCCATATTTGCCAAGAATGATGTAGAAAATAACAGTTCACTAATAACACATGTTGCACATTATTGAGCATTTTCAGGGTAATACTGATTTGGGTGCTACTAGACTTACCTAGTATTGCTCTGTCTCACTTTATCACAAGAGATAGTATTCAATCCTGTAAATATTAAAATGCATTTAGTTTAATGAAAGTTTTTTATATACTGTCATACCAGAAAGCCATGGTTCCTGGAGAAATTGCATTCAACAACTTATTTCTTCCTTTGGTTGTGGATAAATTGGATAAAATTGTTTTATTCCAAATCTCTGGGGAAGAAAATAGGATAAGATTGACACCTCTATTGCTGGTACTATAAAAACATTACTAAATTGGTTAGTATTTCTGTCTGTAACTGATGTTTTAAGAGAATCTTTTCACTAACTTAAATGGTTGACATTGATGTATTATTGGAAAGGAATATTAAACTCAGCAATCACTTTACAGCAATCATGGAGAGACTTGTGTGCCTACAATTGGTGTTGTATTTCTGAGCCCACTTCATATTCATGAGAAACAAAAACATAATGGGAGGAATATTTTAAATAATCAGTTTTTAACTTTTTATAAAGTTTGGGACTTTAAAGTATAAACAAAGGATGTTGAAAATTCATGTACTTTTAGTCAAATTACTTTTTATCTGATTTTTAAATTTTCTGTATTTGAAATCTTGTGAATTAGGAATATCTATATAGGTATATATATAGATATTTAAAACTGGTAATAATAAATGTAATTTAGCAACATGATTCGATAATTACAATTTATTTTCAGAACAAGATACAACTTATTGCATCAAATTTCTATATTACCTTGTAATGGTAAATGCTCTAAAAAGAATATTTTAAGCTACTTCAATTCTTTACCTCCTTTATTCCCCCAGGACACACAAAAGAATGTGATCTTGTATTAACTAACCCTCTGTGTGAATTTTGCCATATCAAACATTTTGCTGTGTTGTATTAAAAGTGTGTTGTTGGAATTTGATTCTATACTTTGGAAAAGTAATTGTATTTTAGTTTTAATTGACAAGCATTTATTTTTTTAAAAAACTAAAATCCTTATAATATTGGTATTTGCCTGGATTACTTGCTATATCATTGCTCATCTGTTTATTGAATTGTCTCAGTACATGAATACACATTAAGTGTATAGTAACATTTACTCTCTATGCTAGATGCAAGGGATAAGAGATGAATTATACCAGATCTCTTTCTACTCCAGTTCCTTCTTCTTCCAGTCTTAACAGATTTATGGATGCATGCTCTAATTAGAAATGAGGTCATTTTGCTAACTAAGGTCGGTACCTTCTTACATTTAGTCCAGAATCCAACAATTTTAATACTAAGTAGCGTAGAACTAACTGAACAGTCTTAATATTATAGTATTTAGTATTGTTCTTTAGTGCCATTAACTTAGTGACTATGGAAACCCGACATTTTTCTAGATTACAAAATTTGAAAGACTGTTGTGGTTGGTTATGAGTTGTAAAATAGAGTGGGTAGGAAAGACATTCTTTGCAAAACAGCTAATGTTTAAATATGCTGAAGTGGAAAAAGCTCAACACTTCCCTGGTTAGTGTATAGGAAGGCTTTTTAGTGAAGATGGGCTCAGAAATTTGAGGGCACAAGAGAGAAAAACATTGGGTGTAACCGATCTTGCTTTCTTGCGGATAAAACTGCTCTAATCTGTCCAGTTGGGGATGTTCTCTTTAGAACAAGTGTCAGAAGGACATTTTTTTCTTTAATGCCTTGTCTAATTCTGTAGGAAGCCACACTTTCCAGGGGATATGTGAGACTTGGATGTGTCCCATCACATCAGTCACTGCCAGCATTCCCTAGAATGTTAGAGCTAAAAGAAACGTTAAAGGTCTGAAATTGAGTCACTCGTTTGTGAGATGAAAACATTTAAGCCCAGGGAGACTTGTCCAAAACTTCACATGGCTGAATCTTAAATCCAAGCCTCTGGATTCCTACTTCAATGCTGTTTGCATGATAGTATGCCCGTTCCTTTCCTTACTCCTCTGTAATGTTACAGGAAATTAGTACCAGTATTGGTGCTGCAATATAATAGGCCAACTGGCATCAAAGTGGTGCTGTCTGCATACATCTCAGTGTATTCAAAATTTTAGATGTTGGGAAACCTTAGATAAGAGTAAACATCTTGGGGGCTTAATACTGTTTCAAAGCACATTCAAAAACCTACCATATTTAATCCTCATGACACTGAGTCAGGACTAGATTTGGTAGTTTGTTGGTGTGGTTTATCACACTCTTTCCTCCTCTGAATTTAAAATCGATTTAAGAAATTGGCATAGACTAGAGAAAGGAATCTAAATATCAGCTTTATCATATCGAGAATTGAGCCTCTTATCTACTTAAATTGAATGTAACCAACTAAGTCAGACTCCCTGCAGAGGCTGTGTAGCCTTAAGCATTCCACAGGCTGACCTGAACGCACTACAGATCCAATGGAGGTCAGGTCAAACCTTAAACCCTGGAGCACTGCCCAGTAGAGGAACCTGGAACAAGGGTCAGATTTTGGCCATCTAAGCAGATGAATTAGCCTTGCACAGGAAGGGAAAGATCCTAGAAAGGTTAATTCTTGGCAGCTGTTCTCAACCCTAGTGCAATAGAATCACCAAGGGAACTTTCAAAATATTCAAATGCCTGGGCCCCATCCCCAGACCAATTGAAACCTGATCTCTAGAAGTGGAGTCAGCATCAGTAGTTGTAGAAGCTCTCCCCTACAGTTGCCCAACAAGCGTGATAATTCTTTAAGGAAGGTCTCGGTAACTTGAAGTCAGTGGACTAAGGTTTTAACAGATAAGGAAATGGGCCCCAAATGATGGATGAAACGACTTGCCCAAGTTCTCTTAGATACATAGTGACAGAGCTAGTGTTAGAATCCATTCATCTATTTAAAAAATAATTTTTTAATTGAATGCCTACTTTAGACCAGGCGCTTTGTATCTCCCTGTCAGTCACTTTTTTTCTGAACTGAAAGTGTTTTGAGGGTGTAAGATGATATAGTCAAGCTGACTGTCCATTTTGAAGCCAATTGCAACTAAGAGTATCTGCTGAATTGTTGCAGAAGACCGGAAAAAAAACAAGCAAACCTTAGAGAAATGGAGTTACACTTTATTATTATTATTATTACATGCGGGCCCAGAGAAAACTGTGCAGCCAACATGGAGGAAGCTTTCCCTATTTATACTTTTTCCAGTTCTTTGTCTCCCAAATAAGGGTTTTTCTGGTCCCCTTTGCAAGTTCTTAAAGAGCCCCATGTGCTGTGGCCTTGAGACCACAACTAAAGGCCTGGCCTGGCACCAGCACTGATAACTCTGTCTGGGAATAGTTTATGGCCTCTCTAAAATGGGAGTAAACAGGTCTTGCCAGGACCAGACAATTAAAGGGGCAGAGACTAGACCAGCCGTGGGCAAACTACGGCCCGCGGGCCTGATCCGCCCGTTTGAAATGAATAAAACTAAAAAAAAAAAAAAAAGACCGTACCCTTTTATGTAATGATGGTTACTTTGAATTTATATTAGTTCACACAAACACTCCATCCATGCTTTTGTTCCGGCCCTCCGGTCCAGTTTAAGAACCCATTGTGGCCCTCGAGTCAAAAAGTTTGCCCACCCCTGGACTAGACTATAGGCTAATAAGAATGTGTATTGGGTTAATGGCACAGGTTCAGATTGCTAGACCCCAAAAATGTCTCATTTTTCCCATCAGAACCATGGAACACAAAAGCAGCAAACAGATCAATTTGACCAGAAATATTCATGAAAGGATGGCCCAGTCAAATGTTTTAAAAGCTAAACTAAAGATATGTGAAATAAGTTTAACTTCTTGGAAAGTAAACTTATGTTACAACTAGAAAGCTTCTACAATTTTAAAATTTTATCCTTATTGTTAATTTTAAACTTTGTAACCTTGACAATGACTTCCAAAGCTCTTCCTAACTTTAAGAGTCTACAATTATCTGTGCTTAAAACTTCTTTCTATTTTTGTAGCTCTAAAATATATCTAAGTTCTTGCATCACTCACCACACCCTTTTTAGTCAACTCTGTTTAGGTGTTTTACTCTTTCCTCCAAAGCTAATGCACATGCAGCCAGGGGCAATTAGTGGAGTAGTGAGAGCTTTGCCCCTGAATCTGCAATTAAAATTCTACCCTTTATATCCTTCCCGGGGTTTGTTATAGTGGATGACGCGTCAATGGCAGCTTTGAAACAATCGGCTTTTTATTTCTGCTGAGGACAGCGTCTCATAAAAGAAAGGCATGTGTGTAATTGACCAATGGATAAGAATGACTTAGATGATTACTAGATGCCTGTGACTTTTGCTGTGGTGTAACTATAATTACATTTTCACCCTGGCCTGCTGTTGGGATTTTTCTCTGGTTCTAAGTGATCTCAGAATCAAATATTTAGCAGCAAGAGTTTGAGAAGTCATTATCACACCACTTTATGTAACAGGACAACTCAACCATCAGGGTAAGACCTATTCTATTTCAAATACCTCAAAGAAGATTTTTTATTTCTTCAGCAATTCTGAAGTTTAACAATTGCCACTAGAGAGAATAGTTCTTAAGTTTCTTGTGATTTTTCTAGACAGACTGGATAGGGAGCCAACTTTTAAATTATTGATGTCAGCAGAGAGGCACAGTGACACTAGTAAGAGTGTATTGTGTGAGTGCGTGCGTGTGCGTGTGCACACACACACGCATGCACGTATGCACTACCCATTGTATGGTTTTTGTGCCTTTCACTGCAAAGTGTTACTGCTCCCTTCCTCTTGGTACTTTGTCCTTTCTCCCAACCCCAAACTTCTGCCACTATAAAAGTCAATACACACGGGAGTCACACTTCCAACAGTTTCTACCTTGTGTTTGTGCCATACCTCTTAGGAAGAGGAAAATGAGAGAACAATAGGGTCACAGCTCTATACAGTTGAGACATAAATCGAGTAATATAAGAAGTGGACCTCAAGATGTGATAAGTTGAGAAAAGAGAATTCTTGACAGTGAAGCTTTCAAATTTACCACGAGTAAGCAGGCAGACTGACATAGATGCAGGAGTTGATGTGTCCACGAAGAGGAAAGAAGGACAAGATGCTTCCCCAGCCACGCTTGGCTGAGTGTTTCATGGATGCCCCAGTGAGGAAGGTTGGCGATTGATACCTGAACCACCATGCAGTTATATGTGCACATTATTTGTACATTTCCACATACATGTATGTACATGTTAATTGTTACAAACTTATCCCAAAGAGACGATTCACGCTTTTACTTATTTTTGGTTATCCTTATGAACTCTCAGGCAACATAATCTCTTCAGGGTACTATTAAGGAAAGGAACTTGAACTGGGTCAAATCTTTATTTACATTCACCTAAGCCCAAATCCTTATGCAATCCCACATACATATATACACACATACCCCATGCAAATATACACATATGCACATCCATTGGGCACAGAGAGCAGACTGTGCCTGTCACTGTCACCTGAGCATGTGGCCCAGAGAGGAATAAATGAGCTGTTAGGTGACACTGCAGGCAGAGCTAGGCTCTGTTATTGGATGGATTTTTTCTCCTTTGAGAAATATAGTGCCAAAGCCATCTTAGAGCAAAGGTCAAGTAGTTGATCTGACATAAAGCAGATGTCTCATTTCTCAAATCAAGATTTGGAAGGATTTGTCCAACCGGCTTGGCCCAGTGGTTGAGTGTCAACCTATGAACCAGGAGGTCATGGTTCGATTCCCAGTCAGGGCACATGCCCGGGTTGTGGGCTCAATCCCCAGTGTGGGGCACACAGGAAACAGCCAACCAATGATTCTCTCTCATCATTGGTGTTTCTATTTCTCTCTCTCCCTTCATCGCTGAAATCAATAAAAATATATTTTTAAAAAAAGATTTAGAAGGATCTGCTTATCATTAATGAGCTTATTGCCCTAATGAGGGAGGTTTTTCTTTTTTTCTTAAATGTATTTTTATTGATTTCAGAGAGGAAGGGAGAGGGAGAGAGAGATAGAAACATCAATGATGAAAGAGAATCATTGATTGGCTG